TTTTAATGTTTGTATATAGCAAGAATATTTTTGAGATTATAAAAATTTTTCTGGGATAGTTTAAACGGACTAAGCATATTAATTAATTTTTCAGATAATTTAAGTATTTTTTACCTTGTCATACTTTATCATTCGCAATTTTTATACTGTCATTGTCACGTCACATGTTTTGTCACATCAATATTTACCTGAATGTATATATTGGGTAAATTCTGCTCCTGTGTAATAGCCCACAAATTACACAGGAGAAGTAAACTACACTAGAAAGACCTTGCAAACTCGACCAAGATGGTGTTGGCAAGAATCAAATTTGTAACATTTGAATATGAGAAATACATTCCACTCACTTAATCAACCATTTTGAAATAGCCATTTACCATTTTGGCCTTGTTTGCCAACCTGCGGCTAGTGGTTAGCGGATTGTATCAGCGACCGGTTTAACCGGCGAATTCTATTAGCAATTTGTAAAGAAATGTTTAGTAAAATTAACCGTTTACTATTAGCGGTTGATGTATAAAAAGACCTATAAGAACATTATTGCTACAAGAACAACAAAACAACAACAACAATAATAATAATAATATATTACTCCGTACTATTATTGTTGTTGTTGTTGTTGTTGTTCTTCTTCTTCTTCTTATTATTGTTGTTGTTGTTATTGAAAAAAAAAAGTACAATACAAAGAGGAGCGTATTTCTATGTTGTCCCAAATCGATGGTGGGAGAACACTGAGAGGGCTTTGAGTCTCCTCTATAAATGGAGCCTCAGTGCCCCTTAGTTTCTACTTCTCATTCAATGTTGTCCCACATTGAATACAAAGAAGAAACGATCCTCAATAAATGAGGGGACTTGAGGCGAAAAACAACAGTTCAATTTTTAAAAAAAAATTATTATTAAGGGTATTTTGGAAAAGGACATTTCTTTTTTCAAAATGCCAAACCCCAATAGCAGCAGCAACAACGCTGCTTTGAATTGTTGTTTTACCCGGTAAAGTCCAACTTGTGATCCCTAGCCGGCTATTCAAAAAAAAAAAAAAATTACGGTAAATATATGTTCAAATATTCGTGTAAAAAATAAAAACAAACAATCTTGCGCTAGTACTAAACGAAAAGTAGCCATCATGATACAATCACTAAACGCGTTTAGTACCTTATTTAATTAAATAATAATACTTAATAGACAAGCAAATAATCTCATGGGCCCTCCATATCCCATAATTTTGTTTTAAAAAAAAAATTTAAAATCCATCAAAATAAAAGTAGAAATACTGCTTGATGCATTGATTTTTTTTTTTTATTTTTTATTTTCTCAATAGTTGCGTAGAAATAAATCAACAATATTTGTGACCAAATTAATCCAGCACACTTTGTTGTCAAAATACGCCCAAAACACCCCGAAATAGTTTAATTAGTCAATCAATTTAAAATAAATACATAAGTTTTGGTGATACGAATTTGACATTGTTGTGGGCACTAACTAGTATATAAGCATTTAGAAACGTGTAGGTTAAATGAGTCACATTCAGCAATTTACTTCCCGGCCAATTTCTAAGGCAGGAGTTGGGCCGGCCTTAAGCTTATGGTTCAATTGCTAACTTATAAACTATGCCCAACATTAATAAGGTTGTTAGGATCAAATGTTTACGATTATGCTGAAAGTTATAACTAGTAGCAAATGCAGCGCAACTTTATTTCCTTACACTTCTATTGCATACATTTTAATAATACGATTATAAAGTTTAACCATTAGACCTCCGCGCTCAACAAGGGCCACAAAGTATTGTTAAGTAATTAACATAAAAGTTTCAATTTTTTTTATTCAGGAGATGTCACCCTCACCCTACTAATCTTAAGCCCACAAGATCTCAACCCTAAAACCCCACTGTAAAAGTAAATCCCGAGCCGCACAACAACTCCAATTTCTCTACCATAATTCACAAATAGCATCAAAGATACGAAATAAAAGCAGAAATAATAGTCCTTGGAGCATTAATGCCATCTGTAAAGTTTCAAAATTTTTACCCCTTTGGTATACCTGCAATAAGCTCATGATGCCCTAGCTGGTAGCAAGTTGGGATGAATGCATGCATGCATGCATGCATATAATATGTATATATGCATGTGGGTAAGCATATACAATCATGGAAGATTTGTCCTTTTATACTTGAAGACCTCTCATCTGATCTCTTCAATCTTAAAGCTTAAAATTCCCCAAACAGCCCAGGAGAAATGCTCTCTGACCTTCCATGTGCTTTAGCCGAACTTAAGGAAATTTCATAAAGTTAATAAGACAAAGACATCATCGTACGTACGTGCAGTGTATATATTTGCCTACCTATCTAGCCCACAATTATTACCTTCAAAAAGTGATGGTGCCTGAATTAATTTCTTAATCCCATTTATACTTCAACACTAAAAGCTACAATTTTAGTTGAAAATTAAATTCATCCCACGATTTACACACAAATACTATATATCTGTCGTTATTGAAAAAGAAAAATAACTTTTTGACCGATTTTGTATAATGATTTTAAGCGGGATGTATACATTTTATTAGGTTAAGTATGATTATTATAGAAAAGATATATTCTAAACTGAACATACACTTAATCTAACATATATATGTTCCCTTTGCCTCTTTGAAACCCCTTTTCTACACTTATATTGCCTTTACATTTTGAATTTTAGAGTCATTATGACCCTTTTTGAATAATTGATTGTTTTACATATGAATTTGAGTATCTTAATGTCCATTACATTAATAAGACTAATTAAAATTTAGTTCGAATTTGACTAGTAGAGTTCGACTCTTATTTGAAAGAAAGTCCAATTAAAACTCGATGCACCTTTTACAAAAGTCAAATTTTCTATCTTACAAAATCAGATATTTTTGAACAATAAATTTAAATTCAAATGTTACCTATCTCAATCATTTCATTCAAAATTAAAATAAAAGTATTGCCCTTACTCCTTGAGGTTTGGAGTTTCTAATTTTTTTTTTTTTTTGAGATTACATTTATTGATCTGCGCAACAACTCCATCTTCTACCAATATTTTTAATATATATATATATATATATATATATATATATATATATATATATATATATATATATATATATATATATATATATATATATATATATATATATATATATATATATATATATATATATATATATATATATATATATATATTATGGATATGTTTCATCATCTTGTCTATCGGTCCCTGTCACAAGAAATGGTTTCGCTTGATTCAAGGGCTCTGTTTTGGGGTCAATTGGCTCCTAATATAAGAAATTCTACAAATTTTAATAATTCTGCATTCAAAGTGATCCCTATATTATATTCTTTACAAAATTTCAAACGTTTGAAAAACAGTATATGTACTATAAAATTTATTTACATTTTCATAGTAAAATTGTTAAAGAGAAAATAATATTTTAAATTAAAAAGTCTAGTTATGATTACAATGATAATAGATGCAATAATTTTATATATCATCCAATCAAATACAATCATATTTCAATTACTAATTATTATACCAAATGATACTTTCAAACTAAAGGAATTAAACATCCACAAATATGTAATCATGATAATAAGCATTGTAGCCCGCATGGGTAGCTCAACTGGTTATAGAGGTGAAAATTTGGAAGAATGACTAGGGATTGAATCTCACCAGCGATAGTATGGGAACAACATTCCAAAGTGAGGGGGACACTTTGTGCGCAGTAAGCAAAAATCTAGCCTCTTGCTTTGTCGGGTTGGGGTTCAACCTTTTGGAAGAACGATAATCTCATTTGTGGTAATATTTTGAATTCTAAGCCCCACATTTATGTCAAAAATAGTTCAAATTAAGCGTTTATAGTTATGCAAAAAAAATTACAACTTTTAGTCAAACTTCAATTTTTTTCCTTATATTATGTAGCAACTAGTGTAACATTTTAAATATCTGTTAGTCATAGATGATGCTATATTCGACATTTCAGATCTTTGCCCAATAATAACATGGTGTGTGTGTGTGGAGGTAGGTTGAAGTGAAAATAATCTTCATGTAAAAAATATAAAATAATCTCATCATTCCATTTGGAATAATTACCGGGTCAAAAATAAAGAAAAAATTACGATGACATTTTCATAAATATTACAAACTTTGGATGTGCACCACGTATATAACAATTCACTCAAGGTTTGTAAAAAGTGCACTAAAGTTACGTTAGTTGCATTTTAACATATTAGCGGATCGGATGCACTCTAAGACGACTTTGCTCAGTGCACATCCGATGTTTGCTATAATTATAAAAATGTCACTGTCATCCCTTATTTTTGAGCCATTTATATATAGAAACATTGTTCTTAAATTAATTATATATATATTTAGAGGCATGAACAAGTGAGAACTAGTAGTCCTGTGAAAACGTGCGGACTAATTTCACAAATTCATATAAGATCATCAATGGTTGGAAAATAAAATTAAAAAAAAAAAAAAAAAAAAAAACAACCATAGTTTCATAATAATTACTATACGACTGTGCATTTAGAAACGTTTGACTATTAGCCATCTACATATATGCACTATCAAATATTCCCAAATTTAATGTATTGTTGTAATTACAAAAATGTCAATACATTTTTTCTTATTCTTGTATTATTTTCAGCCTCTAATCGTCCTTGATAGACATATGATACTAATTAACCCGCACATTTTCACGGAGGTATTAGTTCTCATTTCAACCCTATTTTATATATATGCATTGATGAGGCATGGAGGCGGACTTGAAGATTAGATTATGCTGAATTAATAATATAGAGAGTGAATTGAATAGAAATAGAATAGAATATAAAATATTAACAAAAGAATATAAAACAAAAATTGGGGAAGAAAAAAGAAGAAAAGCAGTATAGTATGGGGCCCCTAACATGTCTCCTCAGTGGACTGAAGGATGTGATCTTCATCTTTCTCCCCACTCAACTCTTCCATTTTTCTTTCTTTCATATATCAATTCTCCTCTCCTTAATTTCGCCATTTTCTTTCCCAACTTTAATAATCTATCATGAACAGCGACCTCGGCCTGATCAAGGTCTCCGCCGCCGCCGCGGCCGAGGGCTCGTCCAGATCCACCGCCGGAGATCAGGCGCCGCCGCCGCCGCTCAGCCGCTACGAGTCGCAGAAGCGGCGGGACTGGAACACGTTCGGGCAGTACTTAAAGAACCAACGGCCGCCGGTGCCGCTGTCGCAGTGCAACTGCAGCCACGTCCTCGAATTCCTCCGCTACCTCGACCAGTTCGGAAAAACTAAGGTTCACCTTCACGGCTGCGTGTTCTTCGGGCAGCCCGACCCGCCCGCCCCCTGCACCTGCCCCCTCCGCCAAGCATGGGGCAGCCTCGACGCCCTGATCGGCCGCCTCCGCGCCGCCTACGAGGAAAACGGCGGATCGCCGGAGAACAACCCCTTCGGCAACGGCGCCATCCGGGTTTACCTCCGGGAAGTGAAAGAATGTCAGGCCAAAGCTAGAGGGATTCCGTACAAGAAGAAAAAGAAGAAAAGATTGAATCCCATCAAAGGAGTCGGCGGCCATGATCACCATCCTCATCATCATCAACATCACCCTCACAATAATCTGAAGCAATCCACTTAGCATCTCTGCTAAGCTTTAATAAAAGCTCTCCGTCACCTTCACCACATCAAACGGTAACTCCCATCCAAATCTCTCTCTCTTTTCAAATATTTTCATTGTTTTTGCTGGGTATCAGCTCGTAGAGTCAAATCCAGCATCCTATCATCGAAACATAACACTGAAGATTGCTTTAAACAAACAGGAGAAAAATAAAATTACCCTTTCATTACTAGCTATAACTTTTGACTTAGTAGTAAAAGCTTGATCTGATAGTCATATACAATTACTAGATAGGCTATATAGTAGCAAATAAAATTTTGTTTTTTTTGGTCAAGTGGAAACTTGAAAACATGAAAATAAACCAATAGTTTGAAGTAGCCTAGAAATATAATAATGGTGATCTAAACCCTAAACCCAACCAGCCATGAAACCCTAAACTTCATAGTCATGAAGAAAGTGAAGTGACAACAACATACCAAAAGCACACCATATCATTAATTTTCTCAATAATTTTTTAAATTTAAAGAATGGGTTTTTTCTTTGATAAGATATTTCTCTTTTCACCATCCGGGCCTTGTGAGATTCCCCACGATTTCCTGCTTCCCATAGGACTATATAGGAGTAATAATTTGGGTATCAAATTATACACAGAAGAAAAAAAAAAATACTGTTGGAGAAACAAAACAAAACAAAAATGGTGACGAGGGTGTGTTTATCGTACGTCGTATGTTGTTTTGCATACATTAAACCTTTTGATTCCCAACGTAATGATTGGTGTTTGGTCGTTCCAATATAGGTGACAGAAAGCAGAAAACTCATTTCTGTTTGTAGCTAGCTAAGCTAGCAGCTACTTACATAGTTACATATATTTCTCTCTCTCTCTATATATATATATATATAGCTTGCCCAAGGTATCCATATATGTTGTCTGTCCTTAGGTGGGTATATAGGTAGCTAGCAAAACATACTCGTATTAGTACTTTAATCCATAAAGTTTATTCCATTGATTTTCTCGAGTAGAACTAGAGAATGTATGTACTTGTTAAAGATCTATCAAAGATGTTTTGTTTCATTTTTGGTACTAAGGCATAGTATAAATGATGTTTTCATGAAGTAGAAAATTATCAACAGAAACTCCCACTTAACACAAGTACTAAATATAATAAATTAAAGCTTTAATTTTCCATTGGAATGCAAATGGTATTTTTTTAATGATTAATGCTGCGTATGTTAGTTTTCCTTGATGGGTTGATGGGGGACATAAAATGGAGGAAAAATACATTGGATGATTTTTTTTAATATTTTATTTATTTATTTATTTCTATTAGATGAGAAAGAAAAAGATTGAGATGAAAAATATGATTATTGAAAATGAGAGAGAAATCTTATTTGGTTTGTATTTTGAGTGGAAGCTAATAAATTTTCAAATACTCTTCAATCACAGTTAATTTTAACATAAACTTAAGGTGAATGACTAAAATAGTCATTAAAGGAATAATTCAGGGACTAAATAGGGTCACATATATAATTAATGGATTAAGTTTACCATTATAGCATAATTAAAGGACTAAAATAGTCATTCTCCCTTATTATTTACTTTTTCCTTTCTAATTCCCAATATATTACCTTCATATCTTTCTCCCTCACCTCATTTCTTTGATTTCATTCTTTTAGATCCGCTTGTCCAAATACAAATTTTCTATCTAGCTATTTATTTTTGAAAAATTACAATTTTGGTCCTAGTTAGGGTAATAACGACCCTAATTATTGTATTCTAGGAGTTACTATTTTTATTTTTCGAGTTGGTAGTAAAGTACTTTCAATGCTTTTGACAAAATTTACCATTACTACTTAGAACCCTTCATGATTACTACAAAATATTTACCTCTTATTATTTCTCTTTTTTCCCTAATTTTCATTCTAACTCCACGATTTAGTGACAAGAAACGCAGACTATACATTTTTATTACACTAAATTTTTAAACTAGTATAATAGAAGTCAATGGTCTACGTTTCTGTTTATTTTATCAGTAAATTATAGAGTTAAAGTGTGCCATGAAAAAAAAGGAGAAATAAACGGAAAAATTCAATTAGTAATAGAACTATTAATCGAGAGATTGCAAGCATCACTTAACTAACACCTCAATAACTAAAAGGGGTGGTATATCTAACACGATGATTGAGTCTACTATTAACCTATAATTTAGGGATAAAAGTATTTTTTCTTTTATTTTTCTAATATATTTTCCTATTTTCTTTTCCCTCTCTACCATCCAAAAATAGCGTAAATGGAGAAGAGCATCTGGGATTTGTATAACTGAAGTGAAAAGATTATGTTTGTGGTATGGACAATTTGACAATATTATTCCCACTATGAAGGGTCACATGCTTAGGATAACAAGTCAATGGATGGATTTAGCAATCTCTTACACACATAAATAGGATTAATAGTTTGAAGCAATCATATGTTTGATTGTGGCATTGACGTTAGAATGACGTACCACAGAATTTGAGAATTATAATAAGTAGCAAATGGGGAGATTATTATATGGGTCAAAATAAACTAAAGAAAATATTAGCTATTATATTTAATCCCATCGAAATTGGTTATGAGTTTTAGTGGTGAGAGGTCAATGAGATGGTGTACTTCTCTTCAAGCTTAACTAGGGATTTTGGGTTAAGTATGATAATGCAGTTACTTTAAAATTCATGAGTAGTGTTGTGCACTCTCTTCAATCTTAATTAGGAATCTTGAGTTTGTGTTCTAGGAATATAACTACCTTAAAATTCATGATTAGTGTTTTGCTACCCTATCTAACACAAATAGAATTAGTGTCGGTGTGGTCCTAGCTAGTTGTCAAGATCAAGTGATTACCACTATGTCAAAAGTTATAATTAGTAGTCGGCCCTCCAACCAGCCACCTAACAATCCTCACGACTGCCTAACCTCAACTGCAACACATGCTTTTAATGAGATTCGATCGCAAGACCTGCTCTGATAATAATTGTCATGATTAAACGATTACTAATATGCCAAAAGCTATAGCTAGTAGCGAATGCACACCTTTATTTCTTTGAACTTGCATAATAGTCAGCGTCACGTTTTGATAGCAAGATGCTGGACTCGACTCTCCAATCCATCACCCAACAGTCGACTCTCCAATCCATCACCCAACAGTACAATAGTTAACTGATCAAGAAATTCTGTGATCAAAGAAAAAAATTAAGATCCATTTAGAAACTTGAAATATTACTTCTAGAAGTAATTTTTCAAATTTTATAGTGTTTGACTATCAACAAAAAATACCCATTCTGGTTAAAGAAAAATGACCCAGTCAATGTCTTCCGAGTATCAAAAGAAATTTTCTAGATTCCTAGCTCACACTTGGTTCTCACTCACACTGTCTAAGTGGTGTTAAATGGGTGGCCGGGTTAGACCACCATCTATCCATTTATTATTTGGACTAGACTAGATTACTTCAGATAAAATACGTGTCGAGTCGGATGGGGCTAAACAATAAAAAAAAAAAAAAAAAAAAAAAATCCTAGCTTGGCCCAACACAGTCGAAAAGATTTAAAAATAGTTAAATTTTTTCTTCAATTTCTTGAATTTAGACTTATTACATTTATCAATAATGGATCGGACGAATAAAATATGGATTGGACTAGGTTGAACCAAATAATAAAAATCATGGTCTTGTCCAATCCGTCACCCAACACTAGTTAACTGATCAAGAAATTCTGTGATCAAAGAAAAAAAATTAGGGTCCATTTGGGAACTTGAAATATTACTTCCAGAAATCATTTTTCAAATTTTATAGTGTTTTATTATCAATAGAAAATATCCATTCTGGTTAAAGAAAAATGACACAGTCAATGTCTTCCGAGTATCGGAAGAAATTTTCTAGATTCCTAGCTCACACTTGGCTCTCACTCACCCTGTCTAAGTGGTGTTAAATGGGTGGCCAGGTTAGACCACCATCTATCCAGTTATTATTTGGACTAGACTAGACTACTTCAGATAAAATACGTGTCTAGTCAGATTGGGCTAAACAATAAAATAAAATAAAATAAAAATCAGCTTGGCTCAACACATAGTCAAAAAGATTTAAAAATTGTTAAAAAATTTCTTCAATTTCTTGAATTTAGACTTATTACATTTATCAATGTACGAATAAAATATGGATTGGACTGGGTTGAACCAAATAATAAAAATCATGGTCTTGTCTAATCCGTCACCCAACACTAGTTAGCAGGATGTTGGACTCAACTCTCCAATCCGCCACCCAACACTAGTTAACTGATCAAGAAATTCTGTGATCAAAGAAAAAAATTCGGGTCCATTTGGAAACTTGAAATATTACTTCCAAAAGTCATATTTCAAATTTTATCAGTGTTGCAAAAATCGCCTAGGCGGTAGGCGGTCGGCCTCCTAGGCACTCTAAGTGCCCGCCTAGGCGTTCTAGGCGCTCTAAGTGCCCGCCTAAGTATTCTAGGCGCCCTAGGCGGTCCCCAGGCGCCTAGTGGGCGCCTAGCGATTTTTTCAACATTGAATTTTATAGTGTTTGATTATCAATAGAGAATACCCATTCTGGTTAAAGAAAAATGACACAGTCAATGTCTTCCGAATATCAGAAGAAATTTTCTAGATTCCTAGCTCACACTTGGTTCTCACTCACCCTGTCTAAGTGGTGTTAAATGGGTAGCCAGGTTAGACCACCATCTATCTAGTTATTATTTGGAGTAGACTAAACTACTTCAGATAAAATATGTGTCTAGTCGAATTGGGCTAAACAATAAAAAAAAAAAAAAAAAAAAAATAGCTTGGCCTAACACATAGTCGAAAAGATTTAAAAATAGTTAAATTTTCTCTCCAATTTCTTAAATTTAGACTTATTACATTTATGATTTATCAATGTACGAAATAAAATATGGATTGGGTTGGGTTGGGTTGAACCAAATAAAAAAAATCATGGTCTTGTCCGCAACACAAAAAATAAAAACAAATTAATTTTTTCTTCGATTTAGTTAGTTTAGAGATATTATATTTATCAATGTCAAATTAAATATGAGTCAGACTTAGCCGAACTAAATAATAATAATCTTGGCGATACCTGGCCAAATCCCCCCAAAATGCAACATGATAGGTTGAATAGCAAAAGTTAATATTGAATATAATGTATTAATTTCATGTAATCCATTGTTTTTTCATTGGAAAAAAAAATCAGGTAGTATATAAGGTATTTAAAAAATTGAAGTATATAGATTAAATTGAAAAAAATAATATAATATGGAATACCATATGTCTATTGACCTCTTGTGTGTATATTCATTATATAGGTTATCGTTTATTTAGAAATGTTAAAATTTGTTATTCAGATATTGTAAATTAATATTTTTATTTATCTATTGATGATAATTGCATTATATATATATATATATATATATATATATATATATATATATATATATATATATATAATTTGTTTATTTATATGTACAAATGGAATAAAAAAAAGTAAACACAAGATTACAAATATTTAAACCATTGAAAACCAATAAAATTAATTGCATTATATTATATCTTCATTATATAGAGGGGCCTAAAAAGGAAACCACTTAAATTTTCATCTTCTTTATTTTAATAATTTTATTTTCTTTTATACTTAGATTATTCCATTTGGTCCATGCATTAAATTAGTGAAAATGTATTTGTCGGATTTTTTTTTTTTTTTTTTTGAGAAAATGAGGTAACATGTTTAGTGTCATCCTAGAAATTTAACGCTTTTGTTGGCAATTAGTTATTCACTTATTTGTCAGGAATTTTGTTTGAGAAAATGAGTTAACATGTTTTGTGTTGCACTATAAATTTAACAAACTTGTTTAATAATTAGTTATTAGCGGTTAGTGGTTAGCGTATTGTGGTAACTATCCGCTATTTGATTGTATTAGTTGTTTATAAATAAGTGTTTGGTAAAATTTTAATTGTTAATTATATTATTAATTGACAACATGCAAATGACTTATAAGGATATTACTATATTGAATAATAATAATAATAATTACATTTAATAAAGAAAAATAATGATTAGTAAATATTCTTTATAATAATTAAAAGTTACAATTAAGAAATAATTAATAAAAAAATTATTTTCTTACTATTTTTGTCAAATAAACAATTTAATTAAAGTTTAAAAGAAAATAAAAATCCTTGGGTTAAAATAGAAAAGTTAAAAAGTGAAAGAAAGGATCCTACGATTTTAGAAGAGAAGTTAAAAATTCTTTGGGTTAAAATATTGTTTTTTTCTTAAACTATTCAATTTTTTATTTTTATTTTTTGAAAACAAACTATTCAATTTTGTTTCATTGATTTTGTTAATTTTTCTGAAAATAAAAGGTGTCAAATATTGTTGGTTTCGTTGTTAGGTTAAGATGAGATTTGTTTTGTCGAAAAATCCATAAAACAATTTTAAAATAGATGCAGTCCCGACATTGAATCGATTGAGATTTAAGCGATCTGTGTTCAACTTATAGACTAGGATAGTAGGATATGCACACACGGGCTTAGTTCGATAGTTCAATAGGTAGTATTTGGGCAATCATTATTGTATGGACTATGATCCATACAATTGTGTGGACCATAAATAAAATTTACATTTTTAATATACTAAGGGTACATTATTTTATATAATTACATTCAGTACAAAAATAATGTACTTTTAATATATTAAAAATGTACCTGATATTCATGGTCCACACAATTGTATGGACCATGGTCCACACAATAATTTGCCGTATTTGGGAGAATAGACTAATGTTTAAATTTCAGCGGCGACAGTGTGACAATTATGCTTAAAGTGGACATATTCTTTGACCCTGTCTGCTGAGCCATTGAGTCACCGTGATTGAGAATTATGCCTAAAGTGGACAGATCCCTAATCTCTTGGCCATGTTTGTTGAACCATTAAGTTACCGTAATTTACATCCTCCCAAATCTGTTGGGGCGGGATATGATTCTGTGATCAATCCAGCTTTTCCAAAAGAGTATTTTAAAAAAAATAGTAGTGCTTTAAATTTTTATGGATGACGAGGAAAACCTACTGTCACTACTCAAGGGTGTGAACTTTGTAAATGCCAGTATTTGAAGTTTTTGTCCACCAGCTAAGCGAATAGAAATTTAACTACCTAATATTATATTTTTTAGTGGATTGTCTTAACTGGTTTAATTTTATTTTAGTGTTAATATATTTGACATGAAAATTGCAGAAAAGGTTAGTGAAAGCAGATGGGTGGCGGAGCTTCTATGAGAAAGAGAAAAGAGATAATGAAGACATTTGATGAGATGTAGGTGTTGTTGTCTTGGCGAATTAAAATGAAAGCACCACTGGATTCAATGGAGGAGTCTTACGTTATCAACATTTTAGTATAAGTACGTAATTGTCATGAAGGATATGATGAAACACAGACAAAACCCACATGTATGCAATTATAAAACAATCACTTCTTTTTATCTTTCTATTTCTCTATTAATGTAAATATATGAAATTCAACAATCATGCACCCTATATTATATATACAGTTATTTACTCATGTTGCAAAAGGCGCTAAGTGCTAATTAGGTGCCCAAAGACACTTAGCGCCTTGGCGGCTGAGCAATCCAAGTATAGGGGTGAGCGTGGAGCGGATTATAGCAAATTTAGGGAGAATCCACATCCAATCCAATCCGTAGGGTGCAGATCAAATCCGCTAATACTGGATTTAGTGGATTGGATGCAAATCGAAAGTCGGATTTTAAGTTTAAAAAAAAAAATAAAAAATCCGATCCCTCTCTCCAACTTGGAAGAACACACACATATATAAAGGAATTAAGAATTTACACTGATTTTTGACCACTTTAATCTCAAATTAGGATTTTATCTCTTCATAAAATCACTCAACCAAATTGAACTGTCTAGGGCTAAAACCACCTCGGTCTAGGAGCGCAATTTTTACAACACTGATATATACACAACTCAATAAACACCTACACCAAAATGTTCTTCATTAAAGAATCAATAAGTTGAAATAGGACAAATTAAGGTGTTATTCAATTTACACACATATCCACATAGTTATAGATAAATGTAACAAAACATAGATATTCTCGTCGAGAATAGATGAATTTTCAGTAGATCAATTATCCTTCAAGTCTTCAAGGTGGAGCATATTCTGGGAAGAAAACCCTGACAAGGTTAAATTTTGATGATATATATATATATATATATATATATATATATATATATATATATATATATATATATATATATATACATTCATTCTCAGCAGTTTAGACAAGAATCTGGAGACAACCCAGGGCTAGCAATTTGATGGAGGCTAATCTACCACTATTTCACAGAAGAAATAATTATGGTCCTGAAATTTTTTACTAAATTAAATGAGAAACACAATCCCAGAAAACAAAAAAAAAAAAAAACCCTAAATCTATCTATCACCAAAGGATGAACAGCTTCTTCTCTGCTTGGCTAGCTATAGATATCTGCATCAAAGAGAGAAAAAAAAAAAAAAAAAAAAGTAAGAAAAAAGATCACTTAACTGCATAGTTTCTGAAATAATAATGCTAATTTAATGGAAGATGCTGACAGGGTGATAATGTTAATCAATCAACAAATTGCAAGTTCAAATACACATCAAGAACCAAAATCGAATATCGCCCAACACTATTGGTAGGTACTACTTTTGGGGAATTCAACTATTGCAGATCAGATTGAATTGGTTGTAACTTTAGAACTACAGAATCTGCAGCAAATCGTGTCTGAAACGTCGTATTTCTCTACAAACTATCATGTTACAACTAGTGCCAATGTAAACTAAAAAAGGATAAAATTCCCGTTATCTATGGCCACAAGTGAGAACTTATTCCAGAAAATATGATGATAGAAGTCATATCATACAGCTCAACCCAGCTAAAGCCTTAATCGTGACATTGTGGGTCAGGAAAAAAGATGGAGAGTTCAAAACCTATCACCTCTACACTGAATACAAGATCCAAGATTATAGTCGATTAGCATCGTGCATGTCAACATCACTCTTGTCACGGGGCAGTTTCAAACAAGTTCAACAAAAATAAAAAATACAAATTCAAAGCTTTATTTCTCTATCTTAACTTGCTTAGCCTGCATGGTTTTTGCTAGTAGATGATTTGTTTTTCAAAGTTCTTCTGTTTCTCTAGCTTTACAACAGGCTTGTCTAGCATTTCTTGAAAGACAATGAAAGGTGAGTGTACAATTTCATCTCCCCTAAATTCCTTAGATTATTATACGTTTTTAAACAATTTCCATTGGTTCAACACGAAACAAACGCTCACTTCCCTAATAACACATCGAACCATACTCCAGCTCAAAACCAACACAAATCAAAGGGCTTGTTACGAATGCTCACTTGACTTGCTACCACTAACGCAAAAATCACGAAGAGCATAAACACAGAGCAGCCAAATATAAAAAAGAGAGGGGTTTCAAGCAGAGCACTAATCAATCTTAGCTACATGAGTACATAGCCAATAAGATACCCTTTTTTATGCAAGAAGATCGGACAATCCACATTGCAGAAAGGGGTATTCAAAATAGTGAAATACCAACAATAATATAAAGCAATGTGAACACAGCATACGATGAATAGCTTCCCAGATTCACAAATAAGCACAAACAAGGATGCATACTTTATTATTCAAATTCATGAGACACAATCATGACTAACACATAAGGTGAACAATACCAAGTACTTATAAACTATTCAGCATCTGGGATAAAGATTAAACAGCAATTTTCTGTTCTACAGTTCTACTCCACATGAAAGCTTCTATTCCTACTCATTCATCCCACAAGCCTAAAGCAAATATTCATTTGAAGACTTTAACAAAAACAAAAACAAAAAGTTGAAGACTTTATGGTTTGGTAATTAATTGTGAAAAACTTAAGTGAAATTGCTAAAAATAAACAAAGAAAAAAAAAAGTTAGGATTTTTATTATACCATCTGATGCGGGGCGTTTGGCTTGCTTAATCTTCTCGAGCTGAACCTGAGTATCCATAAACAACTGCATCCTCTGAAGCTCCAAATCCTTAGCGAATTCCATTCTCTGCTTCTCAAGCTCGATCATTTGCCGCCGTTTCATCCCCTCAACCCTCTCGTAAATGGCTCCGAATCTCTCAATCGCCTTGGCTAGCCTCCTGATTCCATCTTCCTCTTTAATCCCCTCACTCGCCTCCATCTCTTCCTCCGATTCTTCCCTGCCGTCGTACTCATTTGCATCTTTATCCTCCGTGGCGGCGGCGGCTGCCGCCGCCGCAGCCACGGCCGAGTAGTTCCGCCTGAAATAGGAGTCGTCCATGGCCGGCGCCGGCCGCTTCTGGGGAAGAACCACCGCCGGCGTCGGCCACCGGTACGCTAGCGGCACCGCAATCGGCGGCGACGGTAACGACAGAAGCAGAGGCGACGGCGACGGCGACGGTAACGGTAACGTAGACGCGCTCGCCGCCATTACAGGCGAAACTTTCGGAAACTGTTGCTTACCGGAATTCCCAATCAAAACATCGAGGCGCGAGAAGAACGGCCACGTGGACGCCGTTAGGGTTCCGTCAGACTCAACGATCTTCGCTTTCTCCGCCTTGTACTTCTTCTTCAGGGTATCGATCCGGTTCTTACACTGCACATCCGTCCGGCGGCCCTTCTTCGTGTGGCCGTGAAGCTCGTTAACGGCGTCAGCCACATCCTGCCAGTCCTTATGCCGGAGATTCCCCCTGTTAAGCTCCATAAACCGCCGCCCCCAAGCGTCCACAAGCGTGGCCGTCGCCTCCTCGCTCCAACAATCCTCACGGAAAGGCAACGGCCGCGAAGACGGCGCCGTCGCCGTCAAAGAATCCGCCATCTCCCCCATAGATCGATCGAAACCGGAGAAGAGAAACAGCAAAGAATAGATTGAAAGAGAAGAAAGGGGTTGTTAGAGGAGGAATGGCGTTTGCGTTTAGGGCATCGCCGGTTGGCGATGGGCGATGAGAGGTTAAAGCGCGTGAGCCGCATGTGTAGGGAGGGAAAGTAGTACGGTGATGATGACATGAGAGAGAGAGAGAGAGAGAGAGAGAGAGAGAGAGAGAGAGGGAGAGATTACTCGGAGAGGTCGCCGGGGCGCGTGAGGATGACGACCAAGAAACAGGGGAGTGGACAACGGCTGACGGTTTTGGGGTTAGGACGGAATTCGGGTTACGTTACGTCGTTGTAATCGTCGATTCCAATTTCTTATTTTATTTTATTTTTTAAAATTTTAATTTATCCATTTTTTTTTTTATAAATTTTATTTTTTTCTCAGAAAGACGGAACGGCATATAATTGGCCGGTGAAGGGACAAAGAGCGTGTCCGGTGACGTTGCCTTTTGGAGTTACTATTTTGTCCTTATTATCTCTTTCTCTTTATTGCTCCGCTAATCCTCCAATTTTTACAATATTTTCATTAATAATGCATATAGTTTTATTACTAAGATTATCCTTCTAAGTTTCATTTGAAATTTTTTATAAAAATTATAAATTAACAAGATTTACATTATACTGTATTATTTAGTTAGTTTTGCCATAAAATATAGTCATTAGATCAAAAAGGTTGAATTTTGGAGATAATTTAAATGATTTTTTTTGTCGTTGTTGATCTCATGAATAAAGTGACATTTTAGTATTCTCATATTTGAATTTTAATTATTATTTTATTTGATTTTATTTTGATTTTAATACACCGTTTTAATATTTCTAATCACGTGTGATTCGTTTGACCTAAAATTAGTGACTATTTATAGAAAAGAGTCACATGTAAGATATACATGCTACACTAAGGTTTAAGTCATCATTCTCGAGTTATAATTTTGTGACTAATAACATGATTTAGAACTTGATGTGACTTTTGGCGAAATAACAATGACATATCAATGTGCCATTATATCTTGGTAGCACCATTACTAGGGTATTTTGCCTTTGAAAACAAAGATGATGATGTGAGGAAGAGATGAATCACATGTAGTCAATTAAAATGTGAAGGATGATTTTATTTTTATTTTTTTTTAAAAGTATCACATATTTAATTTCACATATTACACATTTACACCTTTTGATGGGTGGTCATTAGGCTTTACAAAGGTAGAAGAATTACAAGTGATAAAAAAAATGAAGTTTTGTATTAATTACAATTTTTTTAAAAAGGTGATAATATTGTATTAAATGTAAACATATTGGATATGTTTGTCAATTAGCGGTTAGGAGATTGATTAGTGGTTAGTGAATAGTGAATTATATATGTTAGCGATTTTGACCAATAGATTGTAAAAAGATATCTTGTAAAATTAATTTTTTACTATTAGTGGATGAGTAATGAGAGGAAACCCACAAGGCTCCTCTATTAAAGAAGCCTTGAGACTTCCATGTTCCTACCAAAAAAAAAAAAAAAAATTAAGTATAAGGGTGTTTTGGAGAAACTGTTGTATTTTCCCAAAACCCAAATGTTGCTAAAAGTAGGGGGTTGCGTTCAATGGTTTGGAGCAAAATCATTGGTTATCAAACACCATATTTAGCGTCTTGGTCAAGTGAAAAACGTTAAATATGGTCAAATCTATCAAAATTTGGTAGATCAGTCATTTACCAAACATGAATATTTGTGACTTGTGAGAAAAAATTATAAAACTTGAAAATATGCCCCTAGGGAATTGATCTAATATATGAGAATTGATGGTTTGATTCCTGCCTCGAATATTGGAGGTTTGAGTTTGATGTTGAGTCTTAAAGCTAGATTAGCTTGATTTACCTCCTCATGGACATATGTGTAGGTTTAGGAATCCAAAATATAATCTAATGAAGTGGAGAAAATTGAGTTATAAAAAAATAAAATGAAAAATACTAATTGAATGGTTGTAGGTACACATTAGTTAAAGACCATCGCAGAAAAGCTATGTAATTAATACACAAAAAGAAAATGAAAATACTAATTGAATGGCTTTAGGCACACACTCTGTAAAGATGATCTTTTTAAAAAAAAAAGGAAATTGGAAGTGATTGATGATTATTATTCATTTGACTTGAAACAGTACGTGTGAGCTAAGGTTGTACGATGTATGCTTTGCATTGATGGTGATTGAGTTTGAGTTATCCACACCCCAATTTTGGTCGTCTATAAGTAAGGATCGACTTCTGGACTTGTACAATGTATTCCAACGAATGATTTTTTTTTTTAATTTTTAAATTTTAATTGATTGTGTAATTAGTTGAGCACTTGAGCATGTATTAGATCATGAATTAAATAAGAAAGTTCTCGGACAAGATTTGTTTTAAGGGTCATTTGATTCATGTTATCTCTTATAACTTCTGAATTAAAGCATGTGCTCCATCTCAACTAAAAGCCTAAGCTAATAGTTGGGCTGGCTCTGATACCAAATTAAAGCATGTGTTCCATCTCAACTAAAAGCCTAAACTAATAGTTGGATACACATTAATGGATATATGCTCACATTCTGGAATGTGAATACTGTAATATGTAAAATTCTTGTGAATGTTATATTTGTTAGAAATAATTATTTCCTAACAATGATTTATATAATAAATGTTGTAATTCCATAAGGTACTCACGATGATGATCAGTGATGTGTAAAGGCGAAATTACTGGGTGAAATTCCCTCCCTCTCATTCTGTTAAAATTTAATTTTATAAGGGTTAAAAGATGTATAATGGATAAGGTTATGGGTTTCACAATCCTAAAGGGATTTCTATTCCTAAAGGAGGTCACATTCCTAAAGGGATTTCTATTCCTAAAGGAGGTTTCCCATTCCTCTTGAAAGAGGGTTTCTCATCACATCTATAAATACTCAGGAAAACTCTAGGGATCTTAATAGTTTCAAATCTCTAAGTTTTCTAGTCTCTATATCATCAGGAGGTGAATAAGGTATATGGATCAGAGAGGTGAAGCATTATATTCTTGATTCATTCAATTTAGAGATTACATCTTCAATGGAACCAAGTAAGTTCTATCTTTTCCATTTAATTAAAAATCCATGATCATGAACATTGTTTAGTTGATTGATTTGATTTACATGTATTTAACATTTTAGTATCAGAGCCTGCTTGTAAATTGATTAATCACTAAAATTAGGGTTGATGATATTTGGGGATTTTTAATTATATAAGGTTTATTAATTGTGGATCTGTTATTACCACTGTATAATATATAATGAATATATATTTTGTGTTCTGGACTGTTGATGTTGTTATCTATATGCTAAATATGAATTTAGTTGAATTTATGAACAGTAGTACGAATATATACTGTAACGTCAAATTTATGTTTTCTGTATCCATTCAAAATCATCAAAACATATATGTTACTATGTTAGTTGCTATGGACACGTACTGTGTATGGGATCAGGCAATTTTGCATATGTTATTTTGGAATTGAATCGGATGGAATCTTGATTGGTATGCTTACTGTTTTTATATATAGCAGACATATATGTTGTAGTCTTGCAGATATTCGTACTGTATATAATTTATATGTTATATGAGAACGACATATAAATTAAGGTTTATTTTGTTTGGACAATTAAATTAAGTCCATTTGGGTTGTTTAAAGTATTATGGATTTGCTTTAAATTCTAGACTCATTTAATTTGGGTTTATATTTGAGCCGTTTGGTTTAGTTAAGGCATTAAGGACTTGCTTTAAATTAAAGGCTCATTTGGGATCAATTATGGTTGGAGGTTGTATCCATTATTAATTTATTAATTTATATATATGTTTATAAATGAATTATTAGCATAAGGCGAGTGTGTTAGTCGCCAAAGCGACCCATTCATGGTAACAGCTAATTAATCATTTATGTTTATGTTTATAGCATATATATAAATCAAGGTTTACTTACATAAATGAGTTATTAGCATAAGGCAAGTGCGTTAGTCGCCAAAGCGGCCCACTCATGGTAATAGCTAAATGATCATTTATGTTTATGTTTGCAACATAAATTAAAGTTTATTCACATAAATAAATTATTAGCATAAGGCGAGTGCGTTAGTCACCAAAGTGGCCTACTCAAGGAAATAGCTAAATAATTATTTATGTTTACAAATGTTTATCGTACACAGGTTTTTGCATCATTGAATGACACTAAAGGATTGATAAACATTTGTGATCATTAACACATGGTTCTAGCGGTTGCCCAAAGGTAGATCAGACATGTGATTAATGACAATTTAGGAGATTATGATTCTTGTTTTGTTAATATGTAGTGCATGTCCAAAGATGGCCTATATATTAAATTGAAACTTGATGAATAGTCTCATTCAAGTATGTGTGAATGATGCATGTCGGTAAATTGACATTGTATTTAAATTTGACCTAAAGGCGGATTTAAATGCAAACTTAAGGTCTATAAATTATAGTCTGAATAAAGGTTTGTTACTCAAAGCAATTGATATGTGAGATAACTGTTTGCAGTGAACACTATCGTATCACGCTATAATGGTGACAGTTTTGATGTCAGTAGTAATAGCAGCAAGTTTAAAAAAAGAAGGTCAAGCATCCTATGAAGGTGCAAGGTAATGTTCAGAAAGTGCAAAAATGCTATTCTGTAACAAACCTGGGCACAAGAAGGCTGAATGCCTGAAGAGGAAAGTTTGGATGGAAATAAAAGTATACATTCAGTTTCAGTATGCTTTGAATCCAATCTTGTTAAGGTTCCTTCTAATACTTGGTGGTTAGGCACTGGTGCTACAACACATGTTTATAACATTAAGCAAGATTTTTTGATGTTTTAACCTCACATGGAAAATGAAAGTGTCTTTTCATGGGAAACATGATGAAAACTAGAATTGAAGGTATTGGAACTTACAGAATTAAGCTGGATACATGTTTTTGCCTTGATCTTGAGAATTGTTTGTATGTCCCAAATTGTTCTAGAAATCTTGTTTCAACAGCTAGGTTGGAAACATTGGGTTTTTACTTTAAGATTGGAAACAAATGTTTGTATCAACAAAACAAAAACCTTTATGGTTCTGGTGTTTTGTTGGATACACTATACTGTT